AGGGCAGTGTCACTGGCCCTCATATGTGGGATCCGAACCGGGGCCCTCTGGCGTCCCAAGCCAGTTCTTAACCATCGCGCCACTCAGCCGGCCCTGGGGATATTTTTGATAAGTGAGACCTTAGGGTCTATTCCTACTTTGCTTACTCAACAATTCTCACCTTATGGGATATAAAACTAAAAGAGATAATGTGAAAATATTTAATTGTGCCTGGCACATAAAACTGTCAGTCTCTATTCCCCTAAAAACGAATGAGTACAATGGGTCATTCTTGCTTTGATTAATCAAAATAGAATGTCTTGGGATGCTAAAGCTTTCCCTACATCACAGTTGGTAAGTTCTGAGATAAAAACTGTCCATATGTGTCACATATATTTCGTGAGTTAAGCTTTATATCTAACTCCAAATACAGGGCAATATTGATACCTATACATCCTTTGAAAAGTACATTTTGATCTCAACGGCCTATTATGAGGACCTGGTTTGTACTGTTATTTCTTTAAGGAATTAGATACTCTTTTATTGCTGCCAAGGAAACTATACTTTAGGTATGAACATTTTCAAATCAGCCTTTATTTCATGCTATTGAAGTGTTGGCTTTTATTTTAATGTCAATGTGTAAGGTGGAATACAGGCAATTTAAAATAACATACATGATATTGACATATTTATACTTAGAACTTATGCATTATATTTACAGACATACAAATATAGGACAATGTTTTCTTTACAAAATCTTTTACTAATTACATGTTTACAACATTTTCGGAAATAAAATGAAATCTGCTGAAAAACATCTCACTGCAAAATGTATACAAAAAGGCTTCTAAATATCCATGTTTTCCTTCATTTCTATAACCATTTAAGTGCTTAGTTTTAAAAAAACTCATCACACTCATCAGCATAGTCACACATCGTTAGGCACTGCTGAGCTGTAGCAAGTAAGAGAAATCAAGACTCCTTGATTAGCTGTAAGGCTGTGTTTTAAAAAGTTATTAAAGAAAGTGACCTACTAATAATAAGTCTCCTACTCTGTTCTAGCCAGATACAAAGGCCCCTCCTCCCATGAGTTGTTTCCAGAGCAAAATGGGTTGGAGTGCTAAGCATGTATGAGTTTGAAAGCCCGGAAACCTGCTGACTTAAAATCTCTGTAGTTGGCAGGGGCCCTAATGGGTGGGCACACAGCCTTTCTCTTTGTTCACATTTCAGCACTGGGAACGTTGCTGCTTCAGCAGGAAGCTCATAAATAAATGGTCAGGTGGAACTGTTATCAAGTCATCTTCATCTTACACTGGAGTCTAGCAAGGATAAATGTTAAACATCTTCAGTTAAATAGAAAAGTACATATAAAACACCAAATACAAAAACAGCATGATTTGTTTTTGCATCTTGACATAGAAAAGAAATTCAATATATCTGATATTCTTTCATTATCAACCAAAACTTCAGTTTTTTTCTAACTCAAATGTAAATTTGAATTAGTTTGATAAAAATACATTAATAAGGTTTCATGCTATGTATAAAATTTGAAATAAATTTGAATTTCCATTTATTCCTATGGGAAAATTAGTTCTAAATGTTGCATTATGCAGGTCTTCTGGGATTATTTCTTGCATAATACATGACAAACAGTCCTGTACTTTGCTGAGTTTCATTTAAATGACTCTATAATTTGGAGATTGTACTGAGGTTTAATGTTGATTAGAAGAAAAAATACCTAGTTTAAAACTACACACAGCTAAATTCTAAACAAGTCATATGATTGGTGGGTGTGTTTAGAACTGTAAATGGTCTGGCTCTAAGCACTTAAAAGACATTTTCTGTGAGGACACTGAAGGATTGGGATTTGAGCTCAGATGTTTTATGTTATATAATTTTAAACTCAGACAAAGTGGTAATGTTCTGGTGAACTTGTTTCCTTGTGAGAACAAGGAGAAAGCATTATTTTGACCAGCTACTCAATATGATTTATCTGAAGTTGCTTTTAGATGCTGCATTTAGATGATCAAAAGAGCAAGAACATTGTGCTCAAATGCATGCACTGGTAAAGAAAACCCAAAACAGTTAACAGAAAAAAACCTAGATAACTATTTTCACTTCTTCTATTTCCTTGGTTTATAAAGGCAGTGAATACCAAAAGATGTCACTGATAACTAAAAGGGGTTCAAAATATAGGGGAAGACAGACCCAAGTGGCTTAACCTTGAATAAAGACTCCTGGCTTAGTGTTGGGTGAGCCCTAGGGCCCTTTCACTCCACCCACAATTAAGTCAGTAAGGCTGCAGGTGGAGCTAGTTGAAAAGACAGCCCGCTGTTTTCAAGATGCCACAAGTGCTTTATTTAATTCAGCCTCTGAAACCTGAAAGAAATATAAGAACCTTGGCTTTTCCTTTAATCCGTTTGCTTTGTCTTCATAATCTTCCATTAGATGGGGAGCTACAAGTATATGTGCTGTGACTGGAAGGTGTTCACAGGTCCAGGTACCCTGGGAGCAGCATGGGAGGAAGGGGGAGGGGGAGGGGACTCGATGACGTCAATGCAAATAATGCAGAGCTGTGCTAAGTTATCTATCAACTAAACAGATTTGGAACCTGTGTGTGGAGTGCTGGTTTATAATGTTGAAATAACAGAGGATGATACACAGAACCACCCTCTTAAGTGGTGGTGGACTGGCGTTGGGGGAGGACTAGGACACTGGCCGTAAATACAACTGGATCTGTTTCATTGTTTTACTACGCAAAATCTGGGCCTTTTATGTTATTTTTGTTTTGCCTTGGACAAAAGGTTTTTTTGGCCAAAAAACCCAGTTCTATGATATTTTTTGTTTTGCCTTGGACACAACAGTCCAAGTGGTTGTAATATAACTTTTGACTTTAAATGTGGCTGAAAAACACAGTGGGGTTATTACTTCCCCAAATCATACAATATCTAGCTTGGAACAGTGGTTTTCACTACACGAAACACCTGGAACGTTTGTTGAAAATGCAGACACCCAGGCCTCACTCTAGACCTACTGAATGAGAATCTGTATTTAAACAAATGCTCCAGTAGATTGAAATGAACAACCGAGTTTAGAAACCAGTGGACTCCACAGGTAAGGATAATGTAGCTGCCGTGCCTTCAAGGGAGCTAAATGCCCTTCTGAGGAGATATTCTTTCTGGTGGGTGGAAAAGTCTGCTCTCGAGGAAAGCAGCTAGTTTAGCCTTCAGTACTGGGGTCTCAGTCATGACACAAGTTTCATTTGTGAAAACCAACCAAGTCTTCATCAACAATTCAATGGAAATGGATATAACCTCCCCTAAAATGGAGAAATGAAGCAAAATATTCCTGTTAGGAATCATGGAGACAGTCCTTCTTAAGACCACATAAGAGCTCTGTTTAAGCCGATGGCTGGCAGCAGCAGTCACGTTGTCCTGTTCCGTTGGGCTAGGCCATGCCCAAGGTGCTGGGAGTCCTTAAACAGCAGACAACTGGTGCTGCTGTTGCTTGGGTGGGGCAAGTTCCAAGAGAGCCCGGACCGTCACTGCAACCTGGCTCAAACCTTTCTCTTCTAAAATGTGGAGAGGCAAACATAATTGCTCCTGAAATGGGACAACGCGACATAAAAACAAACACAAGAGAAAATAGGATGAACATCACAGAACTGAAAAGAAAAAATAAGCATCTCTTCTCTTCCTCATAATAATCAACTGACATATGAAAAGTCAGTACCTGGGAAACTGACCTCTGTTATATGAGTTACACAGAGATGGCATCTGACACTCACTGTCACTTTATTAATACAACTCAAAGTACATACAGATCATTTTGAAAACTGGAAAATGGACACGTTACATACACTTATACATACAACAGAAGATAAACAGAATACTATGGAATAAAAGCAACACCCTTCATCCCTTATCAACAAAAGAGCAATGCAGATCAGTAAAATGAGGCAGGTGAAAAATGAGTAACAGTTACAAGTTATACTAGAAGGCTCAAGCCTGAAAGATATAACATTATGGAGACAGCACTCGGGAAATTACATACCAACCACAGGAATGCAAGACTGTTTCATGCCATCACTCAGACTGCCTAACAGAGGGATGCCTGCTATCTGCATTATAATCCTGATGGGAAAACCAGGGCTCTCATACTAGGCAGGGATCACAGGAAGAAACTGAAGTACCCTTGAGATTTAGACATAGTTGAGAAACTTTTCCCTACTTTGGGTAATTCATGGAAGGCCCGCTTTGAACTACTTAAAAATCTGAATTAGAGAATTATAAAAAAAGAAACTATATTGGAAAAAGTAAAGCATTTCATCCTGGTATTAAATTATGGATTAAACTATGCTGGAGAATTATGGTGTAAGCTTGGTCAGAAACATCTTAGTTACCATATATTTGAAAACTTTACATATTTGCTTAAGGAAGTTAAATACTTCTATCTTGTTTGCTTCATTAAGTTGTTTGGTTAATCCTTTCTTGTTAAGAGAAAATGGCATATCTAAGAATAACACCTATCATCGGTTTTTATTTTAAGACTAAATACTTACAAAGAAAAGAGACTGCTCTCACAAAGGATAAAAGTAAAACTCTGGTTCCATTTAAAAAGAGACTATATTTATTAAAGAAGATAACTAGATTTTTCTCAGCTTTTCATTGGTACTTACTATATTATTAGGAAGTTTTACAAAAACAGTTGCAATAAAAAAATACAGCATATTTATTCTGAGTAGTTACTGGTACCTGTGCTTACTTTCTTTTATTTAATACTTATCTGATAAAACAAGGTAAGTGCAATCTTTTGTTCTTATAAAACTATCAACTTTGTATAACTACTTTGAGTATAAATGCAAGTACAGGTTAACTATACTTAAAATGAACTTGCAGGGTGTTTTGCTCTTGAGAAAGACATGTTTTCTCGGAAGCCAATTCCCTGGTCTCTTTTCAGCACAGCCCTGTGGCCCAAGAGGCCTGTGGTTTAGACATGCCCTCAGAGGCTATGCCTTCCAGATGCACGTTTACCTTCCAGCTGGCTTAGAGGGAACCCTGAAGAGAATGCACAATTATTGCCTCCAAACCACACATGACACAATGTGTTTTTTATCAGGTATTTTTAAAAGGGACAAAACTCCACAAAACTGAATGATCTGACTCAGAAACATCTTAAAAACAACCCCCCACCCTGACCCCCAATCTGGAGGGCACTGCTACTGAAAACTGAAGTTTTCAACAAAGTGTTCAATGTTTAAACATTAACAGTAAAGAGTTTTTAATGTGGTAAATAACTGTCCCATTTAATATGGAAGAAAATCAAAGCAGTCAGACCTTTAGGCTGACTTCTACAAACAGAATGTTATGTTCCTTGCAACCTCTCTTCATACCTGAGTTCAGTTGCCCAATTTTGTTAACAGTTCAGGAGATTCCTGAATGTTCAGAAACATTATTTATAAGAACTAGAATCTGAATGCAATTGTAGTTTCAAGAATCCAGGCTAGCAGCTAACATATTAAGAGTTCTGAAAGAGACAATACTCATTGTCTTGGGTACAGAACAGAGACTGCTGCCTAATACTTTACCTGCTATTGTTCAGGTTTAATTTCCTCAACAGCCTATAAAATACAAGTTCACCTATTAAGATGGTTCAAATATACTGGGAATCACATAAATTCCAATTTTAAATTCTCAATAGGATTCTAGAAGTGAAGCTCAGTTAAAGACAACAAACAGTAAACCTGGACATGTCTACCCCGAAAGGTCAGCTCCAGATCACCTGCTTGTTGGGTAATATTTTACCTGTACACACTGGGCTCCGAATCGCAATCTTGGGACTGAACATTCTGATCAAATTAAAATTAAGATGAAATGACTAGTGCCTTCCAGATGCCCAGACAGCAAATGCTTATGTGGACCTGTGCCTACTAATAAAGGGAGATTTCAGGGCACTGCTCAATGAGATCTAAGTGACCAGGTGCCCCTTCAGACAGAAAGGGTATAACTATTTCCGTATGAGCAGCTGTTGAATAAGTTCAGGAACTCACAATTTTAACACTTAAGTTGTGTTCAGGCATGGAAAAATGGCCAGATGGGAATTATGTTATGTCATCTGGAAATAAAGTTCTTAGTCATATGCTAAGAACAGGAACAAGATTGTATTAGTAGAAATACTTCAGCACATATGACAAGAGAAACAAGGCCACAGGCCAGGAAATGGACGAATGACCAGGAAAAAAAAATGCTGGTCTTTTCCTCTTTGTTAGTAATCATAAACGCCTACTAATGTGATGGGCTGCTTATCTGGACATCTGAAGAAAGGATTTATCTCCTTTATTGGTTAGCTATTTGATGGCCAGAGAAAAGAGCACATATGTGAATATTTCTGAATGAGAAACAAACCTCCTTTCCCAAGCATAGGAATGGGGTGGAAAATCAGTGGGATGCAAACTTTCCATTAGACGGGGAAGACCCAGGAATAAAGCACACAGAGAGTTAACATTAAAGTACAATAAAATGCCACAAAACCCAGAAGCTGCAGAGACAGAGAGACAAAACTGGAATCTTCTGAATGTGCCCCAAGAGAAAGGAGTGTCTCAACAGTTCTTTTAACGCTGAGGTTTAGCTGAAGGATGTCAGAAGGGGAACAAAGATTGTCCTGTCCAGTGTAAGCAGGAAAGGAAAACAGAAAAACAAAGTCAGTGGATCAGAAATGCAGTTTTGAGTATAGAATTCAATATGATCACTTCAATCATATTTAAAGAAACACATCTTGTAACATTCTTTACTATGATGAATGAAAACAAAATACTGAAAAACAAAGCTACAAAGAATCCTCTATGTGCTGAGCTTGATTTTACTATGAAACAGCAGAATAAAATTGGCTGGTTGGTGACTAGTGCAAATGATACAATGAACAGAACTGGATGCTGGCTTAGGGTCCTGTGAGGCCCGAGAGTGGTGAGGTCTGCGAGGGGCGACCTCTTTCTCGCTTCTCATTCTTCCTTATTAACAAAAAAAGAATAGGTCAGGAAGGGTGGACAAAACCTGGGAGCGGGCTAGGTGAGTGAAGTTTTCAGAGAAAGCCAGGTAAATCAAGAAGGTTCAAAGGAGGAGGAAAGCCTAAAAATCAGGGAAATTTACCACCTGGAAGCGAGGTGTACTAAATGGTTTGGTGTTCCTCTAAAAATCAAGTCAAACCCATCTTAACCAACTCCAGTTTACTAATATGTACAAAATGATTCTACAGCCATAAGGGGCCTTAGAGATCATCTAAACCCTCCAGTTCACAGAATAAGAAATTAAATAAATAAAACATTATTGGACTTGATAACGGGAAAATACTCTTTAACACATAACATATAATTCTAGGACATAAGATATTGGACTCAAATAGAATTTTTACCACCCATTATAGTTTTTTGAATGTAACATATTTAATGAAAGCATAACAATAAAGAGAATACCCATATGCCCAACCTTATCAGAGGTTTTTAATAATCACCTTACTCTTCAATGTTTCATTCATAATTTAACTTGTAAACACTTTACAAGTTACACTGAGAAGGGAAATTGTTTGCCCTTGACATAGAATATTCTTGACATAGACTCTGATATTAACTTTTACAATATTAAATTTTATATTACACAATTTCAAGTGATCATTATTACATCCCTGATTTTCTTTACAGCTCCAACAGAGAAAGTGGGGATGTTTAGGGAAGTGAGAGGTCCAGAAGCAGGGAGAACAAAGGAGAAAGAGGGGGCACAGATTTCTTTCCCTCTATAGCAGAGGGGACCTGAGAATGCAAGTTGGAACCCGCAAGTTTGTGTACTTATTCATCTTCCTTCACTTTGTTCTAAGCAAATGACTAATTTTTTTTTTAGCAGAAGTAGCAGCATAACAGGAACCCATGTAAAAGTGGCGGCGGTGGTGGTGGTGATGGTACAGACTAGAGTGAAGGCAGGAGAGAGGAAGGGGTGGCCTATGTGGAACCTCCACTTCTTCTTTCTGGTGGGGAAGAGGGAGAGGAAGAAGGATGTGTCAAGAACCCCAAACTAACCACCCAGGATTTTAAAATTGTATTTTTTTCTATCTCCTGCCTTCAAATAGCACAGCTCTGACAGGAACAGGCGTAGGCTGTTGACCACTGCTTGGCAAATATTGAATTAAACACATGCTTTAAGGCACACTATTTTTGTATTTTGCTGACTGATGGCAGGTAACATTCTGAAAGATTTTCAGTGTATGGACTTTAAATCTGAGACAGATGATGGTTTTGTGAAGCCCAGAGTACAGGTACAATGACTGTAAACACTGGTAAACAGTACTTATAACAGGTTTGATTAGGCGAATTCTGCTAACATGTCTTCCTGTTTGGGGCTGCTTTGGGCACTCTTCTATGTATGAAGTGCATCTTTTCTCTGGTTGCCATTCTCTGCACCAACCCATGACACATCCTTTTGTTCAGACACTGTGGTATGGAGCTGGGGCAGGTCCTGGGCATGCTTGTGTAATGTGCTGAGCAGGCAGGAACAGCTTCAGTAGACAGAAGGGAAGCACTG